TATATATATATATATTTTTTTTATTCATTGCTCTTTTTGCCTCCCCTCATAATCCCAATGCCAATTAAGTCGCAACCAGCACGTGTAGCACTTGATTCCGTTATGAATAAGTCCTTTTGTGAGAAAAATGGATGTCCAATTTACGTGATGAAAAGCCTCAATCATATCCGAGCTTTGAATGGTCTAATGGGGTTCCAAAACACGTGAGCCAAGCATGTCGTCATCGTCAGCTGACATCAAACACTGACCTCTTGCGGTGGTTTCAACAACTACACGCGCAAATTGAAGCCATGAGCCATATTCATGAATACCTTTCGATTTGCACTCCTTGATCAAATGAAATTGAAGAATATGTGACTGCATTATAGGCACATTTACACATTCATGACTGACTTCAGTATGCAATTGTATGTTGCTTACACACACACACACACACACACACACACATGCGCATGCGCATTCTGATAAACTATCCCTCCTCGATGCTTCTTTATGATGTGTTAAATTTCAGAATAAAAGTACCACGCGCTTGATCTTTTCTTTTGACTTCACGAACACCGCAAGGTCCGTCGGTGACTGCGGACGGGCCGGATGGCGACTTGGCCCAGGGTTGATCTCGGGTGAAATTTGACCGCGGGCGTGGCGATGATTTCCAGATGCGAAGCTGTCAGATGTGTGCTCGGCTCCCGTGGAGAGAGGAACGTGCGACGGCAGCCTGCGCAGGTTTGCCTACCATCCCAAGGCCAAGCGGTGTCACGAGTTCCTGTACAGCGGCTGTGGAGGGAACAACAACAACTTCAAGCACCGGCGACAGTGTATCAGGAAGTGCATGAAAAGTCAAAAGGGTATTTTTTTTTTCTCCTTCCTTGACACAATTTCAATGTTCCTATTAGCCAGGGCTTTGGCGCCATCTTTTGGCTCCACAGGAAAAAAAAAAAAGATAATTTAGTGTGGGTGGTTCGGATGTGAATTTATCCAAATCATCGCAATTCCGCAACATTTCAGAAATAAGCAGCGCACAACAGATTGACGCGGTTGTTAAATTGCACATTTGATGGGCGAGCTAAACACTCCAGGAAGCCAACGACAGTTTTTGCTTCCAAACATCCAAAAAGTCACATTTCTTTGTCGAAAATGATGGCAGCAAATGCGGTCGCTATTCTCCAAGTGACGTTTGTGCTTCCACTCAAAATCTGAATTGCACACATTTTGTTTGTTTGAATTGGACAGACTTTTGTGTGTGTGTGTGTGTGTGTGTGTGTGTCTGTGTGTGTGTGTGTGTGTGCGCGCGTGTTCTGCAGATCGTGGCATGAAGATGATTCGAATACGGAAGAAAAATATCCCCAGCATTCTTCATGGTTCAGTCTGAAGACGTTGGCCACATTTGCACTTGGGGAAAGTCGCCACTATTTATCTGCTTGTATTATGGTGTAGGCTTTTGACCCTGCAGGCTATTTGGGCAAATAAGTGTTCAGGTTTTGCTTCGTAGTCACCGCACGCAATGTAACTAAGTCCTCGAGAAAAAAAAAAAAAAAAAAAAAAAACTTTTGCCAGCATGTTCTAATTGAACAGATCTCACAGATTCACTTTGACTTTTGTATTTTTTTTCATTTGACAGATTAAATAATCATCAACTTTTACCCTTCTGCTGTGAGTTTCTTACCCCAAATTATTCTGAATCAATGTCATCTGCTCTGTTTAATCATCAAAAATTATTACGACAATGAAAATGATTACATCATGAAGGGAAAAAATAGGCCATCAGAAAAGACTTAGTCCTGATTAAAAATATCTGTATTTTTTTTTTTTATTCCTACAATTTCAATTTGACGCACAATTTAAGAGGAGATTAACATAGTGTACGACAGTTCAGCAGTAAGCTGGCACAAACTATCATCTAATCAATTTTTCCAAAACAATTTCCGCGCCTGCTTGTTTCTGAACCAGTCCGGTGAAGTTCTTAAAAAGCGCAGAAGAGGGCAGTGTTGGCCAAAGTTGGCATTGTGGCACTGGTGTCGGTCCCAGGGGCGGACTGGCAAGTGTTCACCAATGACCTTTTGGCGCCCACTTTTTCATGGCAAATCAATCAATCAAACTTTATTGATATAGCCCTTTTCATACATAAAAATGCAACTCAAAGTGCTGTACAGTTCAAACATATCAAATCGCCCAAATGATCGTCAAGTAGGTTACATACATGTCCACCCAGGTCCACTCGTTTGCAAAAAATAAAAATAAATCAGTTTCCGGGCACGCTGAGGAGCCCGAAAATGTGATTTACTCAAGCGAATGAACACAGGAAGCACTTCATTGTATGATCTTGTAAGTTTAGGGGATTCGTAGATTTGTAGTGGATAGCTCTACTTTAAGAATGGGCAAATGGAGAGATGGAATCCTTGGAAGGCAGCTTTTTTTAATTTTCCAACGTCTGCACCTCCGAACGAACGAACGAGAACACGCCTCTTTACGGCTCCTCAAACACTTCCTGGTTTCCTTCAGCCAATCAGACAACAACATAAACTTGTTTACGCAATTCTTAAACGGAATATAACCTAGGTAACTGTAACACAAAAGAATATAATGCTCAAATATAAAATGAAAATAATTGAACATATCTCCCTCTCTAGCTAGCTAGCAATCTGTCTCTGTCTCGCTCTCTCTATCTAAATATTTTGAAACGTTTTACCGTCTTATTTCAGAGAAAAAGACACGACAAAGCGTGCGCGTTATTTATGAATGAGCACACGAGTGCACGTTCACGCCGTGAGTACGCAGCGCGCGTGCACGCTGCAGCTGCGGGCTAGCTGTGACGTCACAGGAAGCGGTGGGTTGAGTCCCAACGCCAACCTGACAGCGGCGGCGGCGACGACGGGCAGTCTTCTTCCACTTTGCAGCGCTCGGCGTGGGTGCGCATCTTCTCTCTCTGCCTGGACGGCACCCAAAGCCGGACGGACGCCTTTGACTTCCAACGGGATTCTCTTTTCCCACTTTGGACGGAACGTTCCCGGTAAGGCGGCGCAGCAGTGAGCGGCGTATGAGTGCGTGCGTGCGCGCGCGCGATTATGCAGCAGCGGCAGCAGGAGCATCGCTGTGATGCAGAGCGGAATGAATGCGCGTCGTTGCAGTTTGCTCAGCCGTGCGTGTTGATGCGTCATGCATGGACGGCACCAGCCAGCTCGCCTGCCGCGCCGCGCCGCGCCTTGCCCTCAATCTATTAGCAATCACGCCAACGTCTAATGACAACATGGGAACGCGCAGCTGGGCTTCCCCTCGGCCAGGCATTCCGCTTTTCATGCCGAGTCCCGACATGCGCACTGGGCGGGTGGCTCACAAATGGCCAACACCGTATAGCGCTTGCCTGCCTGCCGCTCGATGTTGCTTCGACGCGCTCTTCGTGCATACTTTGGGGCTCGGATTTGATGGCAATATCGCGAGACTGCTCGTTTCGGGCGATGCGTTTGAACGTGCGCCCCTTTCAGAGGGCTGCGTTTTCAAAACGGGCCGGCCGAGATCTGCTCAGATTGTGATGGAGCGCATCAATTCTCCCACGTCACGTTGGCTTGTTTTAAGTACGAGCGCTGATCCGCGAGTAATTTGTGCAGACAAAATGAACTTCAAGTCACCTTGTAGAGTCGTTTTACTTTGGTAAAAGTCTGAAAGTAGCCACTTGCTTTGCAGAAGTAATTTGCTGATGTTGAATGGACTCAAGTGTGAGTGAAGGAAAAGTCAATTGGCAGAAGTGAATGGTTATTATTTGTATTGTTTTTATGTCTTTCATTTTTTTTATTAGCAATGTGTGGCAATTCAGTGTGGGCATTTATAGATTTTTTTTGTTAGTTCTTGTTTTTGTACTGTATGTTGGAAATAATGAAATTAATAATGTTCACGAATGTCTGAAAACAGATTTTTTTCAAATTATCTTCAGTGGTGTAGTTTAATATCTCTGTTTTGTTTATCGCATCGGTACAGGCAGGACCTTACATCAGCGTGGTTTACCCCAGGTCAAAAATGACATCATAGACAGTTTCTTGGAATATGAAGAACAATCTGCAGGAATGGCAACAACCCCCCCCAGGTGCAGTAACCAGGCACAAAGACAAAATCTAAAAAAATAACATAATATAACAGCTTGGAAACACATGCCTCGGCTGTTTTTTTTTTTTTTTTTAGGTAGATTTAATGGCGCAAATTGCTTTGTTTTGAAAAGAAAAAAAAAACGCTTGAAGGGTTGAGATGGTAGCAAAATGTCGCCACCGTAAAAATGAGCATTTCTGACTGCGCCGCATGTCCAATTTTCATTTGGAGCCTAAACGGCCGCAACGCAAATGAAGTCCCACGCATGCAAGATCAGAACGAAACACGTGACATCGATCTCGCCTCCTATTGGTTGCCAGACAACGCGGAAACGGGAGTTCCGCGTTGTTTAGCTGCCAGATGCGTTGCTAGAACACAATGCTAGCATTGAGCAGGCAGTGTACCTACGCTAGTCTCCCTCCATTTATACAAAGATTGTAAAAGTAAGGGGGGGGGGGGAGCCACGAAATGTGCTATTTTTTTTGCCTTTTGCTTGTTGAATGTGCAGGCATTTGACGCTTCAGGCAATGCATGTTGCACAGTGTAAACGTGCAAGCGAACAGGACTCCAAAAGAAAAACGCTGCACAGTGTGGCGAACCGAAGCGGCGCAAACAAACAAAGCGCAGCCTAAATAACGAGCCGGACCATCTAGCGAGCTACGTATAGCCATGCGCACTCTCAACGTGACACAAAGAGCGCACGGAGACGCGACCTGCTCAATTTGTGGCGAGTGAGCCCCAAATCGGCTGAAATTGACTGCAGTCACAATAACCGTTTGAAATGCTCTCGTGCTTTCTCGGTTCACCGTTTCGTCCCCGCGGCCGGCGGCGCGGTTGAGCCGGGCGCACATGCTGAATGGCTTTTCGGCGCGGGAATGAATGCGCGGAGGGCCTTTGAAGCCGAATGTCAGAGAGTGACGGAGCTCAACGGGCTTTGATGTAAGATGCGGGTCACGCTTTGCTAACTCAGCTGCGCCGTTACATAAGCTGCACATTTGCAACTTGGCGGCTTGCAACACACGTGCGAACGGAAAGCTTGCTGAGGGATGGCGAAAGAGACGATTCTGGGGCCTCTGCTCTTCCCGCTGTATCTGCTCCCTTTGAGTTGCATCTTAAGGAAAGGCGCGATTTCCTTCCACTGCTATGCGGATGATTGTCAGCTCGATGTCGCGCTGAGCAAAAAAACGCGTTCTAATTTTGATCCTGTCTGGAGGGAATCAAGACCTGGATGGCGCCAAATTTCTTGAATTTCAATGAACAGAAGACCGAAGTGTTGGTGTTTGGCCCCAGTGGCCCTCGCGCATCCCACCCTGCCGACTTGGGGCCCCCCTGGCTCCTGATCTTCAGCCAACGCTCTTGACGTCGGCTCTTAAACCGGACCGGCAAATTGGTGCTGTTTTCAAATGCAAGCTTCTTTCATTTGAGGAAGCCGGCTAACATCAAGCCTCTCCTTTCTCCCGTGAGCACTTTGAAACAATCGTTTGTGTTTTTGGATGATTGTCATGCACTTTGACTTTGGAGTCAGACAGTCCTCCACACCAGTTGGTCCATAATGCTGCTGCTCGCCTTCTTGACTGCTACTCGTAAGAGCGAGCACGCAAGTCTTACTCTGTAATGTGACAGAGAGAGAGAGATTGTGTTTCTCCAACTTGTTGAGGTCAATATTTCCACTCATCCGTGTTTTCCAATCCCGGTTAATTTGGGCACACGAGGTGCTTCACGGGCAAGCGGGGCTTTGTCCATGCGCACAGTGGAAAAGGGCCGTGAACTCTCTCCGAGTGTTCTGTGTTTGTGAGAGCTAAACAAAGCAGCTGGCTTGACACGGGCTTCCTGATTTACAGTGTGGGAGGGGTCACCTGGCAGAGAGAGCACATCGAAAAAATGTCCTCCCCCCGCTTTCCCCCAAATGCATCTGTCCTCCGAAGGGGAACTTGCGGTGCTGCTTGGTGGCGTTGACTTTGCATGTCAGCTCATGTGGGACCGATTTCTGATTTCCCGCCGCTGGCCACTTGGCAGCTCATGCAAAATGGATGCAAATGTTGCTTTGTGGTCGGGTGGCGTCCAGCTAGTTTTGCCTTCGATTCGCAAAATGTAACAAGTACCTGAAAAGTCTTTTGCTGGATCACTTTCTGACAGATATAGCCAGCCCAATTTTTCAGAATTTTTTTTTTTTTTTTTTTTTTGCAGCAGCATACTGGCAAGTCGAAATTTCGAATTTTGGGAGACTGGGACTGGACCAGGCCACCAATCGCCAACATTTGCGGAGAATTGCTGGACTGCAGGGGGGTAAAAAAAAACCCTTTCTGCAGTCCCAGTTGGGGGTCCCAATTAGCTAAGGTAGCCCAGTGTAAAAATGTCATTTTCACGCCTCGATGGGCAAGACACGCCCAGGGGCTGCTTTGAATTGGTTTGAAGCTGAACAAACAGCCCCCCCCCGCCCCCCGCCCCACCCTCATCTATATTGGGACGGATTCCATCACACTGGATGGCTTGAGAGAAACCGGGATCTTTTGTATGATTATTTTTTTGGTGCCCCTCCGCCTCTCCTCCATAAAACTATTTAGCATATTAACGTTTAGGAACGAAGTGAAGAGCCGCGTCGGAGGTCAAGCGTAGCGTCCGCTTCGGTGACGTGCAGGCTTCCGTTTGCATTCCTTCGGACTGGAGCAAGCTGACTTTTGCCAGTTGTCGTCGGCGACGTCATGACAGGTCCCCAATAACAGCTCGGTATTACCTCGCACAGTTTTCAGGGGGAACTTCTCTTTTTCTTTTTTGTCCCATTTGACCGGGAACATTCCGAGGGGGGAGTGGATGACGGTGTTTGTTTTGGCTTCCAGGAAATGTTCAGAGCCCGGACACAAACGGCTGATAATGAAGCCGAAACCGGGTGGATGGAATCAACAGATAGCAACCGGGCTGTCCCTCTTTTTGACTCAATTCCATAAGAATGTGGAAAAGGGTCCATGTGGAATGGGAGGGTTGTGCATGGCCTAAAGCAGAGAGCGGGAAAGGGGGGGCGGTAACCCTGTTTTGACCAAAGATCTACTTTTTAAGCAAACAACCTCTCGCGATCGACCCGTTCCCGTCACTTTCGCAGCATCTTCAATATTGGGCACCCCTTGGCCGAAAAACTTTTTTCTCCTTTGGCCGCAACCACCACATTCAAGGCAACAGACTGCAGAAAGCGCACGCGAGGGAGCCGTCTGCTATCGTTGAAGGCCGTCCGTCACTCAGTCCTCGCCTTGTGCTCTTATTCGAGTGCTTGACGCGTCCACTGCAGCGACCTGTCAAAATCTTGGCCCGGGCAGGAAAAAAGAAGGCCGTTTTCCCGACAGACCGCGCCGCGTGCCTCCGGCGGGGGACACACTGAACACGCAAAGCCGTTTTCAACACGGCCAGGACGTCCTAAAACCACTTCAAGCCATTTTCTATTGGCGTGACGAGCCGCTTTGCAGGTGCAGCGCGCGATGGGGCCGGGTTTATTTTTAACCGGCGTATTTTTATCAAGCCATTTGTATAATTTTTCCCTTGCGCAGACGAGAGGCCCCGGGACAGGATCCCTTCGCTATGAGAAAACCTCGGCACTCTTAAGCCCTCCAAAGTCAACTCTCGATACGGAACGACGGCCGGGAAACGTGCGCGCGCAGGCGACGGCGTGCTCGTTAACGTCGTCGACCAGCTCGGGGGTGCGTGCGCCCCCGTCGGCAGAATTGCTCCAGCAACGGAGAAATCGTCGATTTTCAGTTTCTCGTACCGCGCCGGTAAATTCTCGCTCGGTTTTGGCTCGGTGACATCACACGGCGTGACGGCCGCGACGGTCTCATTCAAAGAGCGAAATTATCAACGGCACTGAGACGTTTTCGCAACAATTTGGAAGCTGTTCGGGCTTTACGATATCCGGCAAATGTCGAAAATTGATTGGGACCGGTAGTTCGGGAATATCAACGGCACTGAGACGTTTTCGCAACAATTTGGCACCTGTTCAGGCTTTGCGATATCCAGCAAATGTCGAAAATTGATTGGGACCGGTACATCGGGACCCGATGCCATTTCCACCGAACGGGCAAAAATCCAACAGGTCGCCAAAGTTTTGCGCCCTTCCAAATCCAATGACGTCCTCTCGCTCGACGGTCAGGTGAAAACTTGAAGTGGCGTGCACTGAAAAATCGTCCGTGGCGATCGATCGCGTGCGATGGAACACTGCCCACTCGTAATTTTGTGCTGACTTTTTGACGTGGTTCGACTGTTCACTGTTGACGTGAAAAACGTGACTGCAAATCCATCTCGTTTTGGGGGAGGAATCAAACGGTTTCCATCGCATCCAGAAAGAAGATTTATCACCGGCCTCCGCCTGACCCCGCGGCTTTTCCCATGAGCGCCGCAGACCACCGGTGCGGTCTTTCCGCTCTTGCGTTTCCACGGTCGCGCCTCTCGTGAAGAACGCGTGCCCGCCGAGTTCACCAACGCCGCGACTCCACGATTGATTGCACGGGCGCCGTCTTTGAACACCTTCCGCGATGGGCGCACGGCCTTCCAATGGCCCGTCGGACAGTTGAAGGAGGCGTCGCTCTCGCATCTGCGTGGGAAGGCAGATTTCGTTTCCCCCCAAGGCATCTGGCGGCTCCGTTCTCACGTGTTCTCATGGCGTTTGGAACGCGGCGGATGCCGATATACTTTATGTTTGTTTAGTCTTTTCGCAGGCACACGGGAGGGATGAGCACATGTGCGGCCGACCCGGGGGGAATTGTCTGCTCGCTATATTTGGTATGTTTGGCGGAGAGGAAACGCTCGCAGGGAGGGTGTTTCCAAGCCGATCCTTCCTCTTCGCTTTTCCGGCGCGTGTTGTGCGTTTGTGAGTTTGTCCAAGTTGCTCGTTGATCTCTTTGTGCCCAAACTGGAAACTGGGAGGCAAAGGCGAGCTTCAAATATGCTGCGCTCGGTGGCCGGCCGGCCCGGCACCCGTTCCAGTTTGAGAGAAGACGAGATTGAGTTCCACGCCCAACTTGCACTTGGTTGGAAGTCAAGCGACTGCGACTCACAAATTCACCTCTTTGCATTTTTTTTTTTCTTCACTCCAAGCCATCCTCAGATTCTCCCCTGCGGCGGAGTGCCTGAGGGATGGCGGAGATGTGCCAAGGTCCTTCCAATGGGCCTTTTTCATGCCACGAGAACAATGCGCCGACCGAGGGAGGGGGGTGTCAGGGAAGGGGCGCTGCCGACCGATGTTTCCACGCCGCGTCAAGCGCGTGCCGGTCGGATCATGACGTGCACACTCGCAAGGCGTCGACGGCTTGTTCTTTTTTGGGCTTCTGAAGGCGGAGCTTCGGCTGCTCTTCAAAGTGCAGAGCCGGATCTATTCTGGCTCGGGATTTTCGGGGCTTCGCTCAGCGTGCGTGGGATTTGCCTTTGTTTGAATTGAGGACACTCATCTTTTGTTTGGATTGAATCCCGCCGCTCCATTTGTGGTTTTGTGCGCTCACATGGTCTCTCGAGTGATGTTTTGGTGGACTTTGACTTGAATGAAGTGAATTGAAATCGGGAGGGGCTGGTTTGCCGGAGTTCCATTCTGGAATCCGCGTTGATGAAGAATCCATTTTCGTCCTTCAGAAATGACGACATTCCCCGTTCAAAAGTTTTGGAACAATGAAGCCGAGTCCTTTCTTTTTGCGGCGCATGGAAAACATTTCGGTCTGACCCGGCGAGAGGAGCGTCAGATAAAAAGCTCAACAGCTCAGCGTGAAGCCTTTGACATTTGTACGTGGCTTATTCTCCTGATTCAAAAGCGAGTTGGGTTGAGTTGCAGGTGTGATGATACATCAAATTAAACCAGCCAAGCTTGTGTGTGTGTGTGCGTGTGTGTGTGTGTGTGTGTGAGAACAACAATCAAGTGTGAAGCTGAAAGCAAATGGAAACCACCGTCATGACAAACGGGTGCCAGCGGAGGCAGTGTAGCATCGCTGTGGATTTGAGATCAGCACAGTTTTTGAGTCGACGATGAAGATTCGAGGGTGAATCCCAGCTTGTGGCGTTTTTTTACGATGGAAAGTTTCGGCCACTCAGACAGGCGTGCGGAGATGTTTGGCGTCCATTAGAAGAGATCGCGCGGCTCATGGAGTGGATGACGAAGGGCACGTCAAAAAAACTTCCCGCTCACTTTATGTTCTGAGCATTTTGAAGCGCCACCGATTTGGGGGAACTTTGCTTTGAAAATGGCCGACAGTGAACCTGAGCGGCAGATGTTGCCAACAAGGTTTCGAACGCTGGATTTGAGATCAGCACAGTTTTTGAGTCGACGATAAAGATTCGAGGGCGAATCCCAGCTTGTGGCATTTTTTACGATGGCAAGTTTCGGCCACTCAGACAGTTGTTGACTCGCCGAAAGTCGCTACGAGTAGCTCCCAGTGGAAAGTTGGGGGGGGGCGCCTGGTCCGAAGGCACACTTGAGATCCTGGTGAGGACTTGAATCGACGTTGTTGCTCCCTTCATCTCCTCGTTGGCAACAGATCGGATGAGGTCAAGTCAGTTCAACGCGACATGTTGGCAAGGTAGTCGCCGCCTCCGTTGAAATTTGTCCCCAGCACGCATTTCATCACACGTTGTTCTCCCAAATCATCCAGCAAACATCTGCCGAGTCCCAAACAAGCTATCAGAGTGAAAGGAATTGCGATCGCCCCAGCCAGCGAACGCCGGCGAGTTTCATCGCTTCGCCTCTTGAAATAAACATCCTGGACTCATTTTGCGCCAGCAGCAGCAGCAGCTGCAGTTTGCACAAACGGCAAGTTTCTTCTGGGAAAGCCGCGATGAGGTTCACAAGTCCAATCTTTGGTGGGGGGTCTTCTGGTTTTGCTTGGACACCCTCTGATGTCGTCACCGCTTGAAACTCGACGGGTGGCAGGCAATCGCTGGCCAGTCTCATGTCAAATTGCATTTCTTTGCTTCGTTCGACATAAGACGGCTTGAAGCAGTTCCCACTTTGATCAAAGGACACCTTTTTTTGGGTAATTAGCCCGTTTTGAGGGAATGGCACTCTCATCTGCCCCCCATCTTTGAAAATCAAAGATGTCATCTCCTCGCTGTGTCTTTTCATTGAAATCTGGTGTTTCCGTCTAAACGCATCTGCTTTTTTTTTGGCGGGGGTGGGGGGGTGGGTGTGAATCATTTACATGATATGTTTGCAATTTGGACCTTGGCACAGAATAAAAGGAGGAAAGCATTTTGCTTGTAAAAATGAATTGTCTTTCTGCACCGCAGTTTGATGGAGAAAAATGTTGACTCGTTTGGGAGAAATCATTTCGGAGTTGAAAGTTGGTATACGTCGAGGAGCGCTTAAAAACACATGGCAGGCCACAAATGGCCCGCCGGCCACAGTTTGGACACAGCGGGGGGAGCAACGATATTTGCCTTCCAAATATTCTCATTCGAACGTCTTAAAAGCGATGCAACGAAATTATCAACAGCTGGGAAGCGTCGAATCGCTGTTGTTTGACGAGAAACAAGTCAAACTTTCACAACTTTTTAGAACAAGACTCCCATCCACGTGTATTTTGTTTTGTTTGTTTTTTTTTCTTTCCACGGTTGTCTGTGTGTGTGTGTGTGTGTGGCGAAAAGAAATAAGCGACATTTGTGCCGGAGCCTGATGCGTGGCTGCTGGAAGTCTCCTGTTTTAAACTTGGCCTCTTCCGAAATCATCTGTCCATTTTTTGACCTCACTTTGGAATTTGCGATCTTCTCTTCCAGATCGGCGGCTGTTAAATCGTTCAATATGGCCGACAGGAAGGAGGCGAGCGTCGGGAAGAAGGGCCTGGCGGCCCTGATGCTCCTGTGCTCTCTCGCGGCGGTAGGGCTGCCTGCAAAACACGCCTTCACCTCGCTCGGGGATCTTTGACCACGTTAACCCGCAGCTTTGTTTGACGTCGCTAGTCCAACAGAAACATCGTCAAATAGCATATTTTATACATTTGAAGCTTGGAAATGAATCAACTTGTTTTGTTTTGTTTTGTTGGTTGGTTTTTCAAAAAAGGTCGTGAAAATACAGAATACAAGACACGATTGATTGCTCCTTTCCTCCGGTGGCGGCCGGCTAGCAATGAGCGACAAAAGTGCTCATGTTTATGTGGGCAAGCTTGGCAATTTTTCATGCTTTCCATTTGATCACTCGGGTGCGACGTGTTCAAATGATTGAACAGCTTCCTTGAATCGCCTCGTTTTTCACGACATGCCACGCGCAACAGCTTCGTCTTCCACGTCGCCGGGGGGAGGAACTTCTCTTGTCCGGCAAATAGCTTCATCTTCGCAAGTCATGGCCCCCCCTGTTGAGCTGCGCGTTGAGCTGCCCGTTTGCTCAATTGGTTCCTCTTACTTTCTGTTTCCTGCTGCTCCTTCTTTCATCTCTTGCCGGGTTCTGTTTCATTGAACTGGCAAAGCGACGTTCCAAGGGGGACTCCGATGGGTTAGCGCCGCGCTAACTTCCGCCACATCTGGTGAAGCAAATTTACTCACAGCTCGGACCGACTGGACTCAGACTTGACTTGGACCGGATCAAAGCGGACTCGACGACAGCCCAGCGCTCACGCGGACGCACATCGGATTATTCGTCCCGTTCATTGTCGTGCATGTAGTTCATCCACAGCACTGGAACGCGCGCTGCGCTTTCATCTCCTTGCAGGTACGCGTGACGGCAAGTCTGGAGGTCAACGAAAGTCAGCAGCAGCAGCAGCAGCCGACCAACGTGTATCACGACATGGGACACACCAGGAACAAGATCGTCACGGCCCAGTTTGAGTGCTACCAAAAGATCATGAAGGACAACCCTTCCGACCAACAAGGTAGCCGCCCGGCCGGCTGGCTTCACAGGCCGCCGAGCTCGACGTTTTTCCAACCAAGGGACGTCCGAAAGCCCAACCGCGGCTTTTTTCCCGTCTTCCCTTGTGATTTTCAGAGCCCACCTGTAACCGCACTTGGGATGGCTGGTTGTGTTGGGATGACACCAAGGCTGGCGTCATTTCAGAGCAACACTGCCCGGACTACTTCCAGGATTTTGATCCTTCCGGTTAGTCGTCGTCGTTTTTCTTTTTCTTCTTGTTACATGGAGTCCATGGACACTGAGGAGGGCTGCATAGATGGATGGATGAATGATGTATTTTCCTCTTCTTGTCTGCAGAGATGGTGACAAAGATTTGCACCGACAGCGGCCAGTGGTTCCTGCACCCAGAGAGCAATCGCACATGGACCAACTACACGCGCTGCAATGAACACACCAGCGAAGGCCGAGTGGTAAGGGGGAAAAAAAAAAAAAAAAAAACAACTCCAAAGAAAA